ATTTAGTTGTCCCCAAAAACACAGTTTAAGAGACCTACCTGTGTACGACCAAGAACAATCCTTTATAAAACAAACCTTTACCTTTAAAATTAAACTAGAGGTATTTAGTATAGTTCCAAGCAAGCAACTCCTGCCAAGTGGCTGTCAGATCAGAGTGCTGTGCAGTATACTTGACAGAAAAGCTAGTGTAGTTACAATAAACCAATCCAAGATTTAGTACTGGAAGAACTCAAACACTGCCAAAAGAATCACACAGTAAGTGCTCCCTGTAACAGAGATTTTGGGATTCTTATTTATGCATACCTAGATTCTCAGATTTACGAACAGCTACCCTTTTGTTTCAGGGGCTCCTCAAATTTAGATTTAAGAGATATATACTTAGGCCTGTCTTAATAAAAAGCAAATACGTATCTTAAAGGAGAGGAGAAATAACTAAAGGTATGGGAAAGAAATCCATCACCCCCAAATGCTTGGAAAAACAGGACTGTAGAAGTGTGACAGTCATACAACACAACGATTCTAATCTCCCTGATTAGAACATATTTACAGACCCAAGTAGTCTTTCCATTTATAACTCAAGGGCTATCTACACTACACTTAATGCCCTTTCCCACTTAGCCCCCATCCACCAAAGTTTTGAACTAAAATACAGGCACACCATACTGGTGTGAAACCAGTCAGGTTACCAGGATTAGTCATTCTGATGCATATTCTGTTTTGAAGTCCATCTTACTAGGCAAATGCATTTATATTAATGCAAATGTCTTAGCTGAGATATACTACAAACTGAAAGGAAAATAGAAACATTTCAATGATTAGAACAACAAAACATATAAAAATGAGGCATTAAATATAAGGGGACAGAAGCCAGAAGTCAAATTAGCTGAAGGGCTTAACTACACCCCTGGAATGAAGTGCTATTCATTGTTGGAAATACAAAGCAGACTCTGACAATTAACGAATAGAAGTCTTGGTCTTTTACAATAGATCTTTAAACCGTTCCTTCTCAGCAGATTCAAAATTGTTTCACTGGGGAGCACAGGGGCTACTGACCCCAAATAGCAGCTGTTTTGTTCAGCTCACCTCACACCATATCAGAATCCCTGGAAGTTTTGTACTGCATGCTAGCATCCCCCTCATCCCTCCCCAGCAAAAGGTAAACTTAATCATAGTATCCAAGTGAAAAACTCGGGAAACAGTTCACGTTGCTGTTTAACAAACTTCTAAAGCTACTAAAACAGGTTTCAGGGTCTACCTTCCCTCGCTGATCTTGCCCAGGCACACTTTAGTGAAGCACAACTTCCACACATTCTTATATTCCTAACTCCCAAAACAGAGGCCTATAAGGAAGGTAGTTTCATATTTAGGTTTCCTTATGCCCATCAAATATTTTGTGTGCTGTAAAAGGCACTAAAGACAGGTCATCTAAAGTTTATTAAAACATCTGTGCCTTCCAGCATGGAGTTCACAAATTCCGAATGCAACATTATTCAGCCAATTTAACAAGATTAGCCAGCCTGTTTTTTCCACTTTCTCTCATTTCTTCATCCATAACAAGCTAGCTTGTAGCTAAGGGAAGCCAAGCACTTTTAAAGCTTTATTCTTTCACAGCTAGTAAAGTGCAGCATTTACAATTGGGAGCTATCATGTCAGAAGCACAGTAGTTTCTCACGGGTCATTCAAAGTGCGCTACACAAACCAAACCCAAGAAAACAGAAAGGAGATCGGGAAGAAAGCAGACTAATTAACAGTTCTAAATTTTAGTTAAACTCTGTTCAACCTTCTGCTTCTCAGATCCAGCTAGACAACTAATAAGCTTCGTGGAATTCCGGCCCTTAATTAACACACACTTATTTCCCCAGAAGGATTAGAAGTTTCACCAAATGTTCAAGAAGTCAGTTTTTACAGCTCCAGTTAGATAACTGTCTACATTTAGGAGCAAGGGTTACCTCTCCATATTCTATTGGTAACAGACTATATTTTTTAATGCCATCGCTTGCATTTTCATTGCACCAGGCTTCCCTCTTTGTGACCACATAACATTTTCAGCCAGTAATTCAGTCACTTGACATGATAAGATAAAAGCCATTAATGTAAGTACCCCAATTATACATTAACTGTTTGAAAGCAGAAGAATCTGTTAACAACCACCTTTCTGAAAGGCTAACCCAACATTTTATAGACCAAGGTCTGAGGCTTTGTGCTCCCTAGAAAGGAAGTGATCATCAGAAGCAAAATGCTAATCAAAGCAAAACCAGTTTGACCAGTGCAGATTGCACCACTAACTTCCACCAACATGAACGATGCATGGTAAACAGCACCCTTCCCAAGGCAGTCCAGCTTCTCTGCTGGCAATTAGTTCTTCCTTGACTTGTGGCTAAACGCACAGTTTATTTCAAAGCCCTGCCTCAGTCTTGTGACAGCAGAAGGTATGAGTTTTAAATGACAATGCTGAAGAATTAATAAGACAGCCAATCATCAGACCTTTATCTTACTTTTAACCATCTACAGCTATCTTCAAAAAGCCAGCTATGACAGTCCTATGGTTCTGCAAATGTCTTCCTCAGGATAAGAGCGACATATCTCCTCTAAACACCCCAGCTTTCTTCTGCTCCTTCTGGCTGCACCTCCATGCTGCAAATTAATACATATTGTTTCAACACTGCTTGGGCAATTCCACTACACTACACTAGAAAGGCTTAGAAGACTGACAAATCAGGCCAGCTTTACACTTCAAAACTGTACAAAGGCCACCCATTGGCAGTAGCAGGCAAATGGCCAGCCTTTATACCCTCTTCATCATTTTAGCTACATGCAAACCTGTCAAGACTTTCACACCACCACAGTAAAGCAGTGCCGAGTGGCACACAGGAACACAGAGCTGATGGAGGTTCCTCACTACAGAGATGAATGTGATCAGGCCTGACTGAGGTTTCCTCAGCTAGGAAGGGTGAGCCTCAGAAACTGCTGATGCTGCTAGTGCTTTTAACATTCCAGGTCAGGCCTTTCTTCATACTGTAGTTTTCCTTGCAAAAAAAGGGCTTTGGCACTTTTAAAAGTTTCTCTCTTTCCAAAATGAATAAACTGTCTCCCAAGAAGGCCATTGAACAGTTCCTGAGGGTAAGCCAGTCTTGCTCAACTAAATGAATGCCATTTCTCCATGTCAGTGTAGCTCTTCAAGGAGCATCAAGCCAACTGTTGTCTTTGGCCAGAGCGAATCTGTACCAACAGTGCTGTGACCAGCCACAGACCTCTGGTTATCCCCACGAAGCAGTGTTTGGATGCAGGACAGCTGTGCTTTGAAGCCCCATGCCCTTTAGCCTGGAAGGGACACCACTCTTTTCAGTCCCACGGCCTGTCACCACTGGTTGACAGGACCAGGTACCTCCAGCCCATTTGCCCCTTGGCCAGGGGGCTGCAGGGGCCCCTCCTGTCCCCTTGGCCTGCAGAGAAAGGCAGTGAAGGCAGGAGCATGGTCACTGCAGCTGGGATCAGGTACCAGCAGCCTCTATTTGGCATGTTCTCCTTTGCTAAGGCATTCCTTGCCTCTGCCACCCATTCCTGGCAGCTCTCTCGTTGAAAAGGGTGGATGCTGTGACAAGGGTCTCTCTGGAGCTGCTCACATCTTCTTGCCAAGGCTGGCAGTCCCTGGGCCGTCCCAACGGTGCTCCAACAGACCTGTCTGCACCCCCTTGCTAAAGGAGACAGAAGAAAAGGCCTCCTCAGCTCTGCAGCCAGGGAAAAGGGCTCCCCATGCCCCAAAGCCTGGCTCAGGTCAGTAGTTCCTGGCAGTGCTGCTGAGCCCAGGCACTGCTCCACGGGACCTGTCATGGGCCCTCGTGCCACAACCACACTTACTCTTCCAGTACTTTCCTCGGGAGCTGCAGCTCTTCCTGCTGCTCTAATGTGCTCTGCCTTGCCGTGCTTCGCCCCTTCTCCTTCAGCTTCTCAGCATAGGCCTTTCTCAGGAGGTAGGGAGGGCGATAGGGATCCTCAAACACGTAGGGGCAGGAGGTCTGCAAAGGCAGAGGAGACTTCTAAAGCACTGCCACCAATGGCTGGGGCTGCTCCCAGAGCTTCAGCTGAGGCGTGTGACTTGCACAGGCTTGGCTTGGTCTTCAAAGCAGTGGTGCTGACCCCTCGCAGAGAGCACAAAGCTGCCAGCCCATGCCATAGCCAGCTGCACGCTCCAGCCTGGGGCCTCAGGAACAGCTCCACCTGCAGGGAGGGCAGGCCATGGCACTGCTGCTGTGCCCGGACACCTTTCCTGCTCCTTCCCAGGTGTTGCAGCTCCACGGCCAGAGTGTCACGCCAAAGAGCGAGGGGGGGAAATGCCCCTTTCCTGGGGGATGTGAGGTGCATGCCATACCTTTCCTAGCTCTGTGTCCTGTCCCGTTCGGTTGCCAAAGTATTTGCGCCACACTTCACCTTCCACCTCATGGCGCCTGGATGCCATCAGCAGCTGGAGCTCTCTTTCTTCCCTCTCATTGTAGAGGGAGTGCATTCCCTGAAGGCCATGCACACACCACACATGCAACATTAGTCACCTTGAGCATGGCTAGGGCAGGAGGGCTGGGACAATGGGCAGCTCCTGCTGCCTCTCTGCCTCGGCCCAGAGCCCAAAATGTGACACAGGGCTGGCAAAACCCAAGGATGTACCATTTCTGAGGGTCGTGGAGTACATTCAGGGAGCTTTGACCGTGACTCAGATTGAGGTGTGGGGTGCATTAGCATCTTATCGGTCTTCTCCTGGATTACAGGCAGGAATCTAAAGAGGAAGGCCAGCAGTCTGAGTCTGTGGGAGCCCAGTCTGAGCCTGTATCTGTGCGATGGGCTCACACCCTGCCCCATGGCACCATGCGGCAGTTCAGCAGGACAAGGTCTCCAGGGCCATTCAACATCAGCACGTGCACCCCAGCCAAAGGAAACATCTCTCCCTCTCTACCCCAAGTGCACAGTGTACCCCACACAGCCTCAGCCACACCACTCCTCTACAGGGCTCACCCTCCTCGGCCAGCCTCCTTGTCTTTAGGCTGATCAGATTCCACTGACTGCTGACTGGCCTGGGAAACCCTCCGTCGAGCCAGGAACACTGGATCCAGCACGCTGACTGCAAGTGGGAGAAAGGGAAGAGCATTCCGTGTCTTTGAGATCACGTGGCCAGCAGGAGGGGCAGAGCTGCTCAGTCGTGCCACACAAGGCTCACCCTCAGTCCTTGCCACCCCTGGGAGCCAGAGTTCCAGGCAGGCCCCTGTCCCTTACCCACACTTGATCCAGAGCTGAATTCCCACCAAGCCACCCATCTCTGTGGGACATGATTTTCCTCCTCTCCTACTCACCACTCTACCATCAGAAGGGACTCACCAATAGGAAGAACTGGGAGGTACTGAGAATCCCCAGGGCCCACTGGAGGCATTGGGCTGTAGGGGCTGCCCACAGCTCAGAGCCTCTTCCAGAATGGGTCATCACACAGTGACCTCAGACCTGCCCTCATGAGGGCAAGAGCACCCTCAGTCCCTGCCAGCCCTCAGATGGCACATTACCTCTGCGAGAACCCCCGCCCCAGGGCGCCGACTCTCTGCTGGGCTTCAGGGAAATCAGAGGAGCCCATGGCTGGTGTGGGGTCTCCACTACAAGACTGGAAACAAGAAGGCACCAACTGGGTAAAGCTGGGGCACCAGGCTCCCTTGGGGGCTCACACTTGTAACTGCTGGCACCCGTCTTTGGGAGCCACTGACAAGTCCTTGGAGGGCACGGTGCACAACAACCCTCCTTGCTGCCCATGCAGACTGTCCCACCTCTCTCAGGGCACATTGAAAGTTGACTGGCCCCTTTGTCTGCAATCTCCAAGCCAGGGAAGAGTGAGCGGTGGGCAGAGCAGGAAGCTCACCCGGGAAGGGGCTCATCCTGCCCAAGTTTGGTTGGAATGGAGCCTCAATGAACTAGAAGCTGCAGAAGCTGCAGAAGCCATCCTGCTCACCTTGGTAGTGTGATGACCTCATCTCGACTGACCCGATTAAAATCATTTTGGCCTGGAAAGGCCACGATCCTCATCATGTTGGAGTCCTGGAAGGGGACAGCCACATTTCAACAGACACTCAGAAACATGCTGGTTGCCCACAAAGGTGGCAAAGCGCCTTGCTGCTCAGAGACACAACGGCTGCTTCCCAGAAAGCCTCACACCACCTTCTCCCTTGATGTCATTAGACCCTCCCTCAAAGGGCCAAGGCACTGCCCAGACATGGACAAGCTCATCAGGAGTGTGCCTAGGCTGGGTGGTGAGGCAGGTCATGACAACTGAGAGAAGGCAGCAGGAGAGCTTTGACAGCGTTGCCACAGAGCCACGAAGAGGAATCCCATAGAAATGACAAGCTCACCCTGAGAAGAGCTTTCAGCATGTTTCCTGTCACATCTGGCTCCAACACGCAGTGATCAAAGAAGGTCATGCTGACCACTTTTCCTCGCACAGCAAGGATACCAATGCCCTTGAAGGAGAATTCCACCTCCTTCTCGTCTGCAAGAGCCCCAGCAAAGCAAAGCAGGGTCTCATGTACACACAGCTCCACAATTTCTCGGCGGAAGTGGGTGTCTGCAGCAATCTCCCCAAAGTCCAGCTGAACAACAGGTGTCTCGTCTAGGAAACAAGAACAAAGCAACAGGGTGTCTGCCACCACAGTTCAGCCAATTCCAAGATTAGGGGTCATCAGTGCCCAGCCCTCAGGCAACACTCTGCCAGACAGTGCTCCCCTTTCAGCTTCAGTCACCTCTCCAGAACAGAGCTGGTGGTCAGGAGAAGCCAAGCAAAGCTTGGCCTCCTGCTGCAATCAACCAGCTGGAGCACAGGGGGAGCTGGGGAGATGAGGCTGGCTCCCCAGAGAGGGGCAAGGTGCTGGGCTGCCCTATGTGGGCCCACACTCAGCACTCTCCAGGTTGGAAGTGTCATCTTTGGCTGTGTCAGAGCTGTTGGCAACAACCCAAATGCAAGGGCTGTGTAGGGAAAGTATTCCATCTTCTTACCAGGAATTTTGGTTTCCTCACACTCAAGGTTGTAGAATGTCCTCAGTTGTTTGTTTACAATGAACACAGGTCTCTCAACAGTCAAAACCTTGCCCTCTTCCACACTGGCATGCACTGGGACAATTGCAAATGTCCCAACTCCAGTCTCCACTGCCTGGAAACACAAGTAATAGGAGGGAGCATTGGCAGGGCTGCCGAGAGACGGGGTGGCTGCCACATGACTGGCATGGTCCTGGGAATGGCACTTTGGCCCCTGCTCTGGAGGCCCAGAGGGACAGGGTGAGGTGCTGAGGAGCCAGAGTCCAACTGGGAATGTATTAAAGCCTGGAGAGAAATTTATGGCGCATGAAGGGACTCCATCTTATGCACTTACTCATTTATATCTAGTTTTAAACAGTTTAAAATGTTTTCCTCATATGATTGTATTAACCCCATTTTCCTGTATAGCCTGGGCTTACCCAGGCTTGCCCAGAGCTGTTTTCCCGCCATAAGTTGTTTACTCCTTCATTTTCCCACTCATCCTGCACTGATTGGCTGGAGAGTGCCAAGTGTGGAGTGAGTTCCCATTCGTCCCTAATGCCCAACTCCTCCCAAGTTCCTCCTCCCTTCCTGCGTTCTCCTATCCTGTTATGCCCTGGAATGTCAATCCCATGCTCCTCCCCTGTTACCAAACCCTCCTATACCAGACCCTATATAAGTCCCTGCTTTACCTCAATAAAGTAGAAATTGCACCCCGACCTTCTACCTAGTCGGACCCCTTTGTGCAGTGTTGCAGTCCCATTCCCTCACCCACTGGACCATGGCATATGGCACCCAGGTCGTGGGGCAAGGTAGAAGGTCCTTTTATTAAAGGAACTCCCTTGTGCTCACCGGGGCTCAGGTGGCACCTGGAGAGGTGATCAACCTGCCAGTCCTCCTCAGCTGAACTGCAGACTGTGGACCATCAGGTCAGCGCGAGTCTTCGCACAGGTGAGCTGTCGGGGACATCCCTACTCCCTCTCCCATCTCCCAGTCTCCACGAGAGAGGAACTTTAACATCAACGACAAATTACCAGAAGTCAGCATAACACCATAATAGGACTCTGGCTGTCGACCTCTCAGAAATTTGTATACAGAAAACTTAAAGATTTTATTATCGATCATGGTCACCCCTTGGATAAAAAGTCAGCAAAAGCATTAGGCAAATGGCTTGAACACAAGGGGGAGATAATCTCTGACAATACATCAATTGAAGACTGGGAGAAAATTGGATATCACATTTGGAAAGCAAACAAAAGGGGTGACCGAAATGCTAAAGAAGCAATAATTGCCTGGAGACTCGTTCTGATGGTGCTACAGCACCAAAAGATGAACTCGAATGAGAATCTCCAAGAAAACCCATCGAAACATAAAAAATCCAAGCCAAAATCATTAGTCTGCAAGACAAAATCCCCAGAAAAGGACAAGCCCCGAAAGTCCCAAAATGGCGAGAGGGATGAAGAAGGCGCAACATTTTGGCGGTTTCCACAAAATGGCGTTGGTGATGGGGGAGGACGTTCGTGCGCGCGCGAAACTGAAGTGCACAAGCGGCGAAGGTGGGAAAGGACCATTCAGGAAAAATCTGCGTGGGAGAAGCTTAGGCGGGTCCCACTGGCTCCACCTCCAGTTCCAACCCCTAGGCCGCCTCTGCCTCCACCCGCTTACATCACCGATCCACCCACTGACACGCCTCCGCGCATACCCTCTCCCGCCAGCTCCGCCTCTTTCCCGGAGTCATCGCCCTTCTGGGGCCAAAGGGAAAAGAGGGGCAGGGTCAGGCCTAGTTCCAGTGTCAACACCTGGGAACATGGCAGTGCCCATGAGGCCTATGCCACCCAGGCCTCCAGCACTCACCACACACAGGCCTTAGACACATACTTATTAGTCACTCACCACAACCAGACGTTTGGAAGGCCTTCAGGGCCAAAGTGGCACAGGCTAATGATGCCGAATTCCTGAAGGCTTTCCCCATTTATTTAGAAGAAGGCCGTGCCCCAGAATGGAGGCCAATATCCTACCCTATGTTAAAGCATATCAAAAAAGCAATTATCGAATATGGCCTTGGAGCCCCGTTCACAGTGGGACTCCTTGAGTCCTTCTTCCTAGCTTATCATTTGATACCTTATGATATTCGAGCAGTGGTCAATGGCCTATTATCCACTGTCCAGTCATCAGTTTTTGAAGCAGAGTAGAAGAAGCTTGTTACCAAATATGTAAACGAAAAGATGGAAAGGTGAGGGATCCCGATACAGAGTGCAATAGATATGTTATATGGCAAGGGCAATTATACCAGTAGGCAGGATCAGGCACGCATAGACATAAAATACCTAGACATAACTAGGGAGTTGGCAGTTGAAGCATTAAAGAAGGCAGTCGATGTGTATATTCAGACACCATCCTTTACTCTAACAAATCAGGGGCCTAAGAAACCATTTATAGATTTTATCACAAGATTAAAAGGAGCGATTGCACGCCAGGTTCAGCAGAAAGTCAAGATATTCTATTTAATAAATTGGTGTATGAAAAAGCAAATGAGGACTGCCAACAGGCACTTAAAATCTTAAAGGACCCCACATTACTTGATATGATAGAGGCGTGTAAGAATGTGGGGTCTGGATCTCATAAGGCCTGATTGCTCACTGCTGCTCTAACTTGACTGCAAACACGTTTTAATTGTGGCCAGAAGGGCCACATGAAAAAACACTGCCCTGAACTGGCCATGAAACCTGACCCCCCAAAGACATTATGCCAAAGGTGTAAGAAGGGTCGCCATTGGGCTCACTATTGTCGATCTATTGCTAACATCAATGGCAAGTTCCTCCCTCCAAGAAAATCCCCCGATTAAAGATGGAAAGTAAACTTTAATTTGCTGCCTGACCTTAGGAAATGTCACTGTGAACATCAGGGAAATGAGAGGCAGAGCGCTCAGGGGGGTGTGAAGATACAAGAATCCCCTCAGATGTACTCCATCCTACACAGCCAGCCTTCCCAGTAGTTAAGGAACGACCACCACTCTTAGACTGGATTATATTAACCATTGTGCCTCCCGCACTCCAGCTCAAATCCACTCAACAACTCATAGAGGTCTACCCCTCCTCTGACGTTCAACCAGATCAAGTATACCTAATTGTTTCACATTTCACAGCGCTCGAGAGGGGAATTGTAATGACACCTACCCTGTTGACCAGACTCACAAATAATAACATCAGTATTTGTATTTCTGTTGTTTTACCACCTGTAGAGTTGTTTTACCACCTTCAGCCATCATCTATCATTATATAGATGACATCCTGATAGCAGCAAAACACGGGACCGAACTACAATCCACCTTGACTGCCTTAACTGACGCCATCCAAAAAGCAGGTCTGCAGCTTGCCCCAGAAAAAATTCAACGCACCCAACCTTGGACCTACCTCGGATGGAGGATCACTCAACAGGAAATCATGCCACAACCACTGACTTTCAAAGTAACGGACACTATGACCCTGAATGATTTGCAATGGCTTTTAGGAGCCATTAACTGGCTGAGGCCTGTCTTGGGGATCACAACAGAGGAACTGCACCCCCTCTTCGAGCTACTTAAAGGTGACCCAACTCTCACATCTATTCGATCCCTAACCCCAGAAGCAAAACAAGCTCTGGAAGTATGCTCTCAAGCCGTCGAAAACAGGCAAAGCAGACGACGACACCCTGACCTGCACATTCGCCTCGCCATCATATCCAGCAAGTTCCAACCTTTTGCTGTCCTTTTCCAATGGGATCAGGCAGAATCCGACCCTTTGAGAATTCATTTTCCGGTCGCCAAAATGGTCTCCACAGATGCTTTGGTCAGCATTATGTCCGAGGATGAGGAGATCAGGTGTGGCGACCCAATACAGGCAAATTGGATGACTGCTGTCAGATCTTCCAGACTGTTCTTGACATGCTCTGTTTATTTTCCAGAACCCAGGAAACCACAAAAAGTCAGCATTATAGGACTGTTAGATATGGGGGCCGACGTTACGATCGTCACCTCCCGAGACTGGCCTCCCAGCTGGCCAGCACAGTCAACTGACATAAGGGTCAGCGGGGTGGGCGGATCACAACAGCCAGCCAGAAGTACCAAAACCGCCAGCATATACGGGCCAGAGGGCAGACCTGCATCTCTCAAACCATTCGTACTTAACATTCCAGTAACTTTATGGGGACAGGATGCCATGGAGCAGTGGCATCTCGGAATAGAGACAATTTTTTAGGGGGAGTCACTGAGCCAGTGCAGCTGCCCAGACTGATGTGGAAGACTGAAGTTCCAGTCTGGGTTGATCAGTGGCCCCTACCAGTCCAAAACCTGCAAATTTTAAACAAATTGGTAGATCAGGAATTGGCCAAAGGACACCTGGAGTCTTCCACCAGTCCCTGGAACACTCCAGTGTTTGTCCTCCAAAAATCCTCAGGATCCTGGAGATTTCTCCAGGACCTGCGCAAAGTGAATGAAGTCCTGGAAGCCATGGGAGCCCTTCAGCAAGGTATGCCATCTCCATCTATGCTACCTGCTGAATGACCCATGATGGTTGTTGATATAAAGGACTGCTTCTTTCATATTTTTCTCAATTCAGCCAATTTGGTGAATTTGTGTTTTCCGTCCCAGCAATCAATGCTTGCGAACCTCACTGCACGTTCCAGTGGAAAGTGCTTCCCCAGGGGATGAAGAATTCGCCAACGCTTTGTCAAATGTTTGTTGCAAAAATTTTATCCCCAATTAGGCAGAAATTCACAAAGTCAGTCATCTTCCATTATATGGACAATGTTTCGATCTGCGCGGAGACAGAATTGGCTGTCAAAAAGACTTTAGATTTGGTTGTTTTTACTCTAAATTCGCATGGTCTAGAAATTTCCCCAGAAAAGGTACAAAAGGAAGCACCATGGAGGTACCTCGGACTCCAAATTAACCAAAAAAGTGTCAGACCGCAAACAAAAATGTCCAAAATTTGAATGACCTCCAGAAGCTACTAGGAGCTATCAATTGGATACGCCCTGTACTGGGGATCACAACCAGTGATTTACATCCCGTATTTGAGCTTTTGAAAGGAGATTCAGATTCATCCTCCTCCCCAGGTCTGTTACAAAGGAGGCAGAAGATGCCCTCCATATGGTTGAAAAGAAAATATCGGAAAGAGAAGTGAGTCGGAGGATGGAGGGACTGCCATCCTCCTTGGTAATTATAAGGGAAGAAAAACAGCCGTTGGCCATCTTGGGCCAATTTTGAATCGATAATAAGGACTTCTACTTGGGGGAATGGTTGTTCCTCCCCCACCAGTTCCAAAAGACTATTGTTACCCTGGGTAAAATGATTGGCAAATTAGTCTTCAAAGGACATATGAGGTGTTTAGAGCTTAACAGAAGGGAACCACATTATGTTTACCTCCCATTAACCTCTGAACAAATCGGGCAACTGCTGAGACCCTCTGTTGATTTCCAAATTGCCATTGGTGGATACCTGGAAGAGGTGAAGTTTCACCTCCTGGCATGTCAGTTTGTTCAGAGATTGGCCCAAATTCCATTTAAATTAGAAATTATGCAATCCAAGATTCCAATTAGAGAAGCAAAGAAGATATTCACGGATGGCTCCGGTAGGACTGGAGATGCAGTCATCGTCTGGAAACAGGATGACAATTGGCGACAAGATATCCATAAAGTGCAAGGTTCACCTCAGATTGTGGAACTTTCAGCAGTTGTACGTGCTTTTGAGATCTTTCAAAACGAAGTGATAAATATTGTATCTGATTCAGCCTATGTGGTGGGCATAGTAAAGAGAATTTAAAAGATGTTTCTAATCGGCTTCTGTTTGATTTGCTAAACAAGCTATTGTTTTTGATTCAAAACAGGAAATTAGGATATTACATTATACATACCCAGTCCCACACTGCTCTACCAGGTCCTGTGGCAGAGGGAAACCAGATTGCAGATTAGCTGGCAGGTATGATGCCAGTACCAAATTTATTCCAGCAAGCCAGATTTTCTCATGAGTTTTTCCACCAAAATGGTCAATCACTACAAAAACAATTTAATCTGAAATTAAATCAGGCAAAGGAGATTTTAAAGACCTGCCCTGATTGCCAAGCAGTGGCCCCACTTAAACCCAAAGGAACTAACCCCAGAGGGTTGGAGCCACTAGAAATTTGGCAATTGGATGTGACACATGTGCCCAAATTTGGGAAAGTAAGATATGTACATGTGTCAATTGACACATTCTCCAAAATGATAGTAGCCACCACGCATTCTGGTGAGAGAAATCGAGATGTCAAGAAGCATTTTTTGTCTGCGTTTGCAAGAATGGGGGTCCCAAACCAGGTCAAAATGGATAACGGGCCCTCATATGTATCAAAAGAAACCAAAGCATTTTTTAATAGCTGGGGTATCCACCATACCACTGGAATGGGGCAGGGTATAGTGGAAAGGGCCCATCAAAACATAAAAAATCTACTAAGGAAACAAAAAAGGGGGAGTATGGGTCTGGCTCCCCAAGAAAGACTAGAGAAAGTCATGTATGTTCTGAATTTCTAAAATAATTGCAGGGACCTGACATGCCCACAAGTAGAAGACCTATAAGGAGGCACTTCCGATCAGAAAACCAACAGAACATAAGGAAGGCCAAAATACTTTACAAAGACCTACTAACTGACAAGTGGACGGGTCCCTTTCCTCTCATCACTTTGGGGAAGGGACACACCTGTATCTCCACTGATACAGGACCGAGGTGGGTCCATGCAAAGTGCATGAAGGTCTTCAGAGAAACATCATGTGAACCATCTACGCCTTCACCACCTTCATCAGTTTCGGAGTGATCCTTTCAACATTGGAGACCGCGTCAGCCATTCCCATCTGGATGTACCAACAGCCCGAAAACGTTTGGGTGAAGTTGGCGCAAGAAACAAATAATGACACTATCTGTCTTTCGGTTAATAATATTAATAATTTATTTCAGACGTGTTTAGTTGGTTTACCCCTTAGTGACGATTTCAGAAATTATTTTTAATCACCTTCTTATGTTGAGGATGACCCCGCTGAATTTGAGGTCTTAGGTTCTGTTATTACTGATCAGTGTTTTAAGTTCGCATCTGGGTCTACATCTTGCATAAAGAAGAACAATGTTACTCCCTTTAAGAAAATATATCAGGATGCCTCCCTGTGGTGCAATGGCACTGCGCTTGAAATAATCACAACAGAGTCAGTAGGCTTCAAACCAAGTGCCCTGCCACAGGGAAGATTCCTAATCTGTGGCGAGAGAGTGTGGGCTGGTATCCCATCCTATCCCATTGGAGGACCCTGTGCCATCGGCCAGGTCACCCTATTCCACCTACACAAATTTGGGTTAATCAGTGAAAAACCCACCTCATTGATTCGCCCCAAGAGAGACTTCGGAATGCTTTGTATGCAAAACCCCATCCTTAATGATACATTGAGAGTGAAGTACCTGGCAGTGGGGCCGGAGGCAAGACCTCTTACCCCCCAGCCACCAAGTCTTTACACGACCCTAAAAGATTAACCACTACTAAAAGGTCCACGATAACACCTTCTCCTCCAAAAAGAGACTGGAGGCTAGGTAGCAGACAAGTTATCGAGTCATATGGAAAAGATACCCTCAGTTACCCTACCCTCCAGTCTCCCCTTAAGTGGGTGAAAGGAGATTCTCCAGTCTCATCCAAGGTTGCTGTTGTTCCACCTGATGCTTTGCATCCTCCAATGGGAGTTCTTCCAATCTCCAAAATTCCGGAGGATTGTGATCCTAATATTGAGTTGTGGCCAACCATGGGAAATTATTTCAGCTCTTTTATCATTGCAGGGATCAGAACCTTGCATGCCCTCAACACCCTGACGCACATGGGATGCTGGCTCACGAAAGAGGCCAACGCAACCAGCATGACCCTAGAAGGCCTGGTTAAAGCCACTCAAAAATTGAAAGAAGTCCCTTCAAAACAGGGCCACCATAGACTTCCTGTTACTGGCACACGGCCATGGGTGCCAGGATTTTTAGGGGATGTGTTGCCTAAATTTTTCCGATCACTCTGAATCAATTTTCCAAAGCATTAAAATCTTGCGTGACCTTATCAATGAAATTAAATTTTCCCCTAAGATATCCCCAGATGATCTATTTGATAAATTGGGTTCCCCTAGTTTACCCAACTAGTCTAAACAAATACTTTTAATGTGTTTCAGAGTCTTGATGACCCTTTTTATGTTGTTACTAACATTTTGTTGTGTCATAGCTGCCTGCAAAAGCCTCATTCTGAGTAAAATATTTTTGTCCTTCTATCAAGAAAACAAAAAAGGGGGAGATGCTGAGGAGCCAGAGTCTGACTGGGAACATTTTAAAGCCTGGAGAGAAATTTATGGTGCGTGAAGGGACTCCATCTTATGCACTTGCTCATTTATACCCAGTTTTAAACATTGTTTAAAACGTTTTCCTCATATGATTGTATTAACCCCATTTTCCTGTATAGCCTGGGCTTACCCAGGCTTGCCCAGAGCTGTTTTCCCGCCATAAGTTGTTTACTCCTTCATTTTCCCACTCATCCTGCACTGATTGGCTGGGGAGTGCCAAGTGTGGAGTGAGTCCCCATTGGTCCCTAATGCCCAACTCCTCCCAAGTTCCTCCTCCCTTCCTGCGTTCTCCTATCCTGTTATGCCCTGGAATGTTAATCCCATGCTCCTCCCCTGTTACCAAACCCTCCTATACCAGACCCTATATAAGTCCCTGCTCTACCTCAATAAAGTAGCCATTGCACCCCGACCTTCTACCTAGTCGGACCCCTTTGTGCAGTGTTGCGGTCCCATTCCCTCACCCACAGACCGTGGCAGTGAGGCATGTGCAGGAGGCAGGACTCACCCTCTTCTGCAAGAGCTGTCTGTGGATGTAGCGAGATGCTCCAGACCAGATTTTCCAGATTTCTGGAAAGCAAAGGAAAAGCCCTGCCATTCTCTGATTCAGTGACAGCCACCATCCCCTGTGCCCCTACCCACACAGGTGACAGTGGAGTGCCCTTTAGCCCCCCTTGCCCAGTCTCATCTCTGGGGCTGCCCAGTTGCATTCCTGACTGCCCTAAGGCTCAAAGCAACCCACCCTGCGTCCATGATAGGCCTGGAGAGGAAAGGCAGGCAGTAGTTTTGGGAAGAGAATTTCCACTCCTAGACACTGCCATTTCCCAGAAGGTGATTATCATGTGTGTGTCTCAAACACCCATAGCCAGATGGCTGTGGAGCCAACTAAAACTTGTTGATAACACACAAGGATTGTTGGTAATAACCGGAGATTGTTGGTAGTAACACACCATGGGAAAGGACAAAATAAGGCTGGAGAAGGGGGCGATGAGGAAGTAGAGGAGCACTTTTCTGGGACAAACATCCTTGTTATTAATCCTGGAGAGAAGCACAACACAGTACAATGCAAGTGCAGGAATGAGATAGAGAAGTGACCATGGACTGTAGGGGGGATGAAGAACACCAAAGACCCCTGAACCCTTTCAACCCATTTCCACAAAGGTGTGAAAGAACAGACTGCAGATGATAACTAATTTGCATAGAAAGTGAGAAACCTCTTTGGGGTATAGAAATGTGTCTATAAAAAAGTACCCCCACCAAGCCCAGGTGGTGCCCCCAGGACATCCCATTGGCTGGGCTGATATTGGAACCAGAAGTAGTGATTGATTCCTTCCTTCTTTCTTTTTCTTTCTCTCGCTCTCTTCCTCTTTAATTCATCTCTTCCTTTCTTTCCCTTTTCATCTTACCCATTTATCCAAAACCCACTGCCATGTTCCTATATAGTAGGTCAGAAACTCACAATTTCCATGCCAAGCATGTAATTTACTAATAAAACATCATAAGTTCTTGTGGACTTTTTTTGTTCCTTTCTACCATGAGCATCACCCTTCCCCTTAAGGGTGGGATGTCACAGCTACCAAAGCCACCCCAGAGCCTCAAGGCACCACAAGGCAGGGCTCTCCTTACTGCAGCCTGTGCTGACTAAAAGAGCCCCCTCTATGGCCCCAGCCTCAGGGGGGCTTTCCACAGCTCATCTCCATGTAATCTTGGCCCTGACAGTGCTGCTGCAAGGGACACCTATGGCCTTACCACTGTTGCTGAGCTCCTTGAGAGTTGGGAGCTCCTCTGGCCCTACAGAACTAGAGAGCAGGTAGTTCTGCATCTCTGCCCCCCTGCAGTGCAGCAGCTGAGGAAGAGGTGCTTGTCCTGCTACAAAACCCCTTTGCTCCTCTCCTTTCTTTGACGCTTCTCCCCAGGCAGCGTCTCCAATGCTCTCCTAAATCATCTCCTTGTCTCCTGGCAGCAGGGCAGATCCTGCAATATAGAGCAGAAAAGATGCCTGCCCTGCTCAAAATCCCTCTGCTCCTCTCCTCCCTCTCAACACTTCTCCAAGTGGTATCTCCAACGCTCTCCCACAGCTTTCCTTTGCCTCCTAGCAGCAGGGCAGCTCCTGCACAGCAGGGTGCTGGTGAGGGCAGTTCCAGTGGTGTCCAGGCCTCTCCAAAGAGTGTATTCCAAGGACACTGTCCCTGGGATGTGAGTGTCCCACTGTGATGTCATGCCATGGGTCACAGGGCTGCACACAACCTGCCACCACACAATCTCACCTACATTTATCTCCAGCATGAGCAGGGCAGCTCCACCGGTCACCTCAGGCTGCTGCACTGACCCTCCCACCTGCACAGCTCAGCTCATCCTCCCCAGCTGGGCACACAGGAACTCCTGGAACCTGGGGAGGAATAGGCATTAGTGCTGAAGGGGCTTCATGCACTCAGAATAAAGCTGGAGAGGTCCCCCCAGGTCATGAGGGAAAGCAACCCCACATTTTGGCTCCCAGGGCAACCCTCAGCCCCTCCTATCCCCTAGGGCCACTGGGATGGACCTCTTTCCCTACACCAGGATCCACAAAGAAGGACTACAACTGCACATGTGCCTTGCAACTGCATCCTCCGATGCACAGTCACCTTCCTGGAAGTCTCCCTTGACATGATTGTCAGCTTCCAAAATCCTCTACCCAGCTTGCAGAGATTCTTTGCACCTGGCTACAGACACCCAAATAAACCAGCCCAGATGGGGACTGATAACCATGTGCAGGTGGTATAAGAAGTCACCTTCCCTGAGACAAGAACTGTGTTTGGCCATGAGCTTGTCATTGTGTCCATTAGGTATCACTACACTGTTCAGGTACACAAGGCACAGCTGAAATGAAAAACCCGTGTGCAGGCACGTGTAACTCAGCCACTGAGTGTGGTGTACCAGGTGTGAAGGAACATGGACGTGGTGCCTGCTGTTGTCAGGTAGAATATAAGTAGCTACCATGAGGTGACAGCGGCTCCAGATTCTATTTTTATTTTTTTAATATACGCAAACTAAGCTCAACTTCTAGTTCTTTATTTTTAAACATTGACCAGTTCTTTTACTTAGTTATATATGACTTTAAAATACTGTTCATGAAAACTTATTAAGTTTCCATAATACCTTATGGGTGCCTTCCCATTAACATTTCATAGACTTTCCATGAAGGTGTGATTTATGGCCTTTATGTACAACCACTCATCGGAGAGATTTTGAATAAGACAATCTCTGTGAGTAAATGTTGCTCCTGTACATTAGTGGTTTCCAAGTCAGGCAATTAACTTACAAATGTTTGCAGGCTCTTTCTTCATTTTTTTCATAACATAGTCAGGAACAGTATTAATATCCAGTACCAAGTCTAATAAAATTTCCATTACCTTCTGGGGTTAATAATGAACACAGCAGAGACAAAATCAGTATCACTGTATTAACTATCATTAAATAAGGTATCTAAGCATGAGCATCATAGCAAGTGAGTGTATATAAAAAATTTGTATTTGTCTACTTATCTTATTCAAACTCTAACTTTGACATTAAGCCTTGGATTTGAAAATTAGTAACGTGCAAACACATTGTGCACGGTCAATTAAACTGAACTCCACTATTTCACATCATCTCAGGAACTGTGAAAACTAGAACTAAACTTCATTTCTGCCAGTTTTAAAAAAGTATTTTAGATTTTTTTTCATGAATGAAAAAAACTGTCTGAATCGATTGATTTTAAGTATGGAACTCTCTGAACGATTTGATCCTACGTATAACCATTTCAACTTAAAAACCAAATCATGCTGCATATTACAATAGTAAAATTAAATTTTACTACATTCCTTCATTAGCAGCATACATCCATGTAATTAAAATACTTGGAGTTATCAAATCTGAGGCATGTATTATGTCTGGTCTAGCACATGGAAATCTGCGGTAGAGGGCTCAAGGCATATTCCCCACTGGCTAACCTTGGGCATTTGAGTGTTTCTGTGGACAAGTAGGCTCCATACAACTTGTCAAGCCAGCAAAGAGAGAAAAACACAAACCATGTAGGTCTGAAGTCACCTCCGTACATAATAAAATGATGGTACAATCACATTTGGAAAGCAGGTTGTAAAAAGAGAAAATGGCTTATGAGGACATCAGTAAAACAGAAGGGGGAGAGAACAGACAAGGGATCCCAGCTCCCCACATGCTCAGGGCAGTGAACTCACCCGAGCACTTCCATAATCCCATCCAAATTATGCTGGGTGGAAGGGAGAAGGGTAGTGCTAATGTCTCCTGCAGTCTTCTCTCACTACAGACTCAGGACACAGACAAAAGCATGAGTCCACAAGTTGCACAGGGTAAACAAAACCCAAACTTAGATGATGCCTGTGCATGGCTCTTCCCTGCGCTCTTTTCTGTTAAAAGCTTGATGATGGAAGGAGAGGCACCTTGTGAGCACTGATTAACCTCAAAATGCACAAGTCTGCACCGTTCTGGTCCGAGAAAGTTTATTTATGGCTCACCATTATTTGAGAAGACCTGCTACCTGCTCACAGTGCTGCAACAGACTGCACCCACTCCAGTTCTAAAAGGAATCTTGCTGTTCTTAATGTGAACCACACACCGACACCGTAACTAATATTAGTTGGCATTTATTAGCAGTTTGAGATACAAGACAGTCTATGGGCTTAGGAAGTGTGGCCTCTTAAGGCAGGCCTCTTCAGTAAAAACAGAGGTAACACAGCAGAGAAATACGAGACATTGCCTGCAGTTTCATAAACCGCTTTTTTTTTTCCAGACTGGAAGTACAAATGAAATGCACAGAGCAAAAAAATTAAACTTTCAAGGACTAAATCTAGACCATGCTGTATGCTAAACATATTTTAGCATACACATTTACAATGAAATAATTTCATAAGTATCACAATTTATCTTCTCACACAAATGAGAACAAAATTAGTTTTAAATATCTCAGAAGCATATCTTTTCCTCCTTCAGAGTCAAATGGGGCTGAGGACTTTTTGAACAAAGAGACTTACAGTGAATACCTGCAAGCATCTGTAGCCACATACATTTCTCATTTCCATCTCTATTTTTCTCCTTCTTCCCCAAAGCAATTAAAATCTTCCTTTTGCTGGAAGGCCTGCAGGGAATAACCAGAGGGGAGTTCTGAGAGACAATGAGGTCCTGAGGTGAACCATCTTCCTCTGGGTCCTCAGTTAGCACCATCTCCATGGAACCACTGACAGTGCAGTGCTCCTGGTAAACCTTTCTAGGTGTCACTCCAGCAAGCTCTGGTGGCATGTGGAAATGCTGTTTCCATTGCTCAAGAGACTGAATCTAGGTTTGTGCCTCTGCCCAAGGGCTGACTCACTCCACTCACATCCACTCTGACTGACCTAGCCCCATTTTGTCTGTAAGACTCAAGCTGTGCTTTAGGTAAGTGCAGCTAAATTTGGGAGACAATAACTTTATTTCTGCACATCCACTCAATTAATCTGCTTCTGGACTGTCATTGATAATAATTCTCCAAGAATTACTGATTAAGTCATACACTTAAAATTATTTTCTAAAGCCTCCTATTGTCATCTGAGAACCTTGATGGTGACTCTTGCCATTATAGCTTATTACCCTTCAGCATCATCACATCCAAGATATGGATTTTGGTTTTTCTTGTTCATTCTCAGCACTATAAATGCAATGAAGGAATTACTACTTCATATTCTACTTCTTATTTGCTAGAACTTTCCTTACATAATTTTCCCTCTGAGGCTTTTGCAAACTTCTATTTCTTTATTCTTTTATGGTATTTTCTGCAATTCTTCCTCATCTCCATTATTTCTACTGAAACTATTCACTGTCTTTCCCTTTCGATTTTGTAAAAACCTTGAATTCTCTCCCCACTCCAAACTATTTAAGGGCTTTCACTTCTGGTTTATATCAGATAGGCTCAAGTTCTAGTTTTCTGTTTCGTTAAATCCTAATTAAACTTCTGGCCCACATACAAATGATGCCTATTACCTCTGTGGCAGCTCTTTCTTTTGCCTAATATAGAAATACTCATTTCCCTATATATTTTGTACCAGAGAAAGTTGTCTTTAAAGATGAGAAACTGCTCTTCAAACACTTAGTCAGTGTTAATCATGCAGAGATGTAATCTGCTTTCACACAGCTCTCCCTGCATCAATCCAGGATGAGGTGTTTTGTGCTACCTACCAACCAGAAGACTATTTAAGACCATTTAACCACAATAGGACATAAATATTCAGATTACAAAATAAATAAGTGAATTGACAAATAATAATAATAAAAAAGCAACAAAACAAACAAACCAAGGGGGAAAATGAATCCTGAATATAAGCCAGGTAGTCTAACTGTATTCTAGCTACATAGCCACTATTAGCCAACCCCTGCAGTTTCCAGATGTTTATTACAGGATATGCCTGGACAAATCTTCTTTCATAAAAGCTCTTTGACACAAAGACATTAAACTTTAAGTACCTTAACACAACAACAGACCTTTTAAAGGGGATTTACTTAAACTTTTTATATACAAAAACAGCTGGAGAGGGAATAGAATGACAATGAAGTAAAACAATACTTACAGACAACCACTTAGTAAATCTCCACCTTCTTCTCCTTTCATCACAAAGGAGAACTCCATAAGAACTGTGTATACAATAGTCCTATTAAGCTCATGATTGTCTAAAAGATTAAGGCTCTGACCAAAAGAGCAGTGATTTCTGAAATCACTGGAAATCTCACTATTTGCTTGAACAACTTTGGATCTGGTCCATACTGACTCCATAACTGTTCATAAGCTGGAGGAAAACAACTCTGGCTATAACCTCCATAAAAACACGGTAAAAAGGAACAAATGCTTGCTTTCTATTTACTTTACTTTCCATATTTTTTAAAAAGGAAATTTTCAGCATTTTGCTCCACAATATAATCAAGTTAATTTGGTCTGAGGAAGTGAAAGGAAGACACAAGGCACAGAAGTTGTTTCTGATTCTGAGATTTATCATTATTCACAGTGAAAATGACTACTACTTTATCCCTCAGTTTGATGCTGAAACAGAAATTATTTGCCAAAAATGGGGGGGATAGTGGGACATACTTTTTCTTTTCAGAAAATGCTATCTATTGCTAGTTCCAGGGTC